AATTAAATCCAATGTTATAGACAGCTCCTCTACCAATCAAATAAAGAGATGAGAAATAGTGGAATCATATAAACGAATATGGAAAGTTGTGTGAGAAACTTGATATGATTATGAGCAATGAAGTATGCTCGATACGTTATCAGTAAATATTACCGTATAACACTGTGAGAATTTATCAAAATAGATTTTATCCACAATGGAACGCTGAAAAATGACTTTGGCTTTCAAGATACTTAATTTAGCATAGCATGTATTGCGAAAAATACAAAGCTGTTTCCATAGAAAGTTGACGTGAAGTGAACTTTATTCGAACTTTAGAAATTTCTATTCTATTAGCTACAAAATAGAGTTGATTAGAATAGCATAAGGTGACTTTGTTCAAAGAAGAATCTTGTGGAAGAGTTATCCATAGATGAAGAATTTGTCAAGTGTTGTAGAAAACGTGTACCAAGAACGAAGTTCAGTATAATGTTACCTTCTAAAAGTATATCCTGAGACCGAGCACTTCGGTCTAATCAATCGACGGAAAAATTTAAAGAAGGAATTCAATTAAATTATTATGACTCGTTCAACAAGAGGTGGCCAGCTCTCGTGGTCCAAGTGGTCTAGTGGATAACGCTTTGGCGTCTGAAACTATGGTCACTGGGTTCTAGCCTCGGTTTACAATTTTCTCATACTTGTATTGATTTAGTTGTTAGCACTTTTAAGTGGTTTGTTAGGTAAAGAAACATTTTCTGTTTATGTTATTTTTAAGTTTAACAATGGAACTATTAAATTTTACAAGAGTTGTGTTATTCAATATCCAAGTGTGCATCGTTTTGATGAAATTGATGCCGATTTCTTACTGCTACATAATAATAAAATTTATCAACACGTCACTTCAACATACTGCATTTAGGTATACAATTTTAGAAATTAGTCAAGAAGCATAACTGCTTAACCTCGACTTCTTCTGAAAATTCAACGAAAAATCAGTTATTACAGATTTGAAATGGATGCATCGGTGGCGTAGCGGTTAGGACGCTCGACGACCATGCACATGGTCCGGGGTTCGATCCCCGGCCACCAACACACTCCTCTACCTCGCTAAGCCAGAAATAATGCTGGTAAAGAGGAAAGGTTCGGCATGAGGCTAGCAACTCCATCCTGTAAAATAAACACTGCTACAGAAACTTCAAGCCACTTGCTTGAAGCCCTATGTTCCACTGGGGAACGTGAAGGAAAAAAACAGATTTGAAAGAATTAGCTGTCAAGCTATTCAAATCACACTTCACCTAATGTAGGAACTGATGGTAAGCCCTGAGTGGTCACCGACTCACTCATAATAGATTCAGTTGGAAACTTCTCAGTGTTGAAGCATAACTGTTGAGCTAAGTGGGAAGAAAACGAGAAATAATCAAATAATACTTCTCTTGGAGTCATTTAAAACTGCTTGAAACTATCTACATACATATTTAATTTGTGTTGTACAGTTTAAGTAAGCTAATGAAAGTGATAATTTCCCTTATTATATGGAGAAAAACTTTATTGTTGAAATTAGAAATGCATTAAACAATGATAGATAAATTATGGAGATTTGTACACAAAAAGATCGCAACGATCTTGTTGCACAATGATTTTGTTTGTCAGCCGGCGCCCTTACAGATGATAATATTCTCTTCGTAGAAAGTATTTATCTTATTTGTGTAGAATATATTTTCATGAGGTTCAAAAGGACTTTGATCATAGCGGTAGCTTTTTTTCCAAGAACTACACTGACTAGGTTACTTTATTTAACAAAATAAGCCGGCAAAGATTAGTGACCCGCCTTTTCCACTTATTCTAAATATTAAGCCACTTGGACTAGTCGCCAATACCGGTAGATACGCTTTTGTTTAATATCACTTTAGAAATATTTTACACGTATATATGTCTTTCTATCTTGTCACAGTCATTGCGTGTAAATAAGCTAACACCCAGCGAAATGACCGAAAAATTTCTCTATGGGAGAAAATTAGGCACATCATGTGTTTTAATAATTTAATAATTTCCATTGTAGCATCAAGAACACAATATTCAACGAAGAGACTCCTTCCAACGAATTTATTATTAAGCTGTACAATCATATATATATATATATATATATGTGGTGAGAGCAGGCTGCTAGCCGATTGGTTGACATTAATCTACGTCAATGTCTAGGTCACTAATATGGGCCGTGAGAAAATATGAACATGGCTGTTTCGACAACCAATCACAGCAAGCTTAAACGTGGACAAATATGATTCGCAGATAAATGGCTCTACTTTCCGAGAAATATCGAAAACAACCAATCAGAAGACTGCCTTTTTCTGCTTGCATAAGCCTTATTAATGTACATAAAATATATACAAATACGTGTTGATTTTCGTAATAAAACGATCTGTTGCCAGCCCTTGTCTTCTGTTGTTACATATATAGAAACTATAAGCAACAAGCTGGCAGAATAAGCATCCAGTGAAGATAGGACTTCAGGTGAACATAGAGAAAACAGAGGTGATGAAGATTCCTGGCCAACACCAACAGCAACCACAACAACAGACAACAATCAGCCAGCATAAATGGGAGGAACCTGAAAGAAACAACCTCCTTCACCTACCTACCTAATCGGCAAGCATCGTTTCAACTACAGGCAGACGGAACTGACCAGGATATCAAAGCCAGAATCGGAAAAGCAAGACAAGCTTTCATTACTCTCATGTCTGTGTGGAGGTCAACAACACTCAGAAACAAAAATAAGATTTGGATTTTCAACTCCAATGTGAAGTCAGTGCTACTCACTATATGGATCAGAGACTTGACGAGTCATAAAGAGCACCTCAGACAAACTACAGACCTTCATTGACGGTTGTCTCAAGATCAGATGGCCGGCCAGAAAAGATCAGCAACAGGGATCTCTGGCAATGAGCGAACTAACCAGGAACCGATTGTGAAATAAATAGGCAGGAAGAAATGGAGGTGGATTGGCTGGCCATACTATGAGGAAACCATCAAGTGAGTGACATCACTAGACAAGCCATTGCTCGAGTGGAACCCGAAAGGGAAGCGGCGAGTTGGTCGTCAGAGCGAGAGTGACTTGGAGGAGGTGATGTGAAGAGGAGATGAGAGCATGTGAGCAGACTTGCAGCCAGGTGAAAACTCTAGCAGAGAACTAAACGCAATGAAGACGTGCGGCTGAAGCCATATGTTCCTCTGGGAATTAAAGGATAATAATAATAAATTATATCCGGTGAAGGAATTAGGTCAAAGGTGTGAATACATGAAATAATAATAATAGTATGAAATGCAATTAAAATATCTGAGATTATAATCATAGTTTAATGTCAAGTAGCAAAATAATTAATATCATATGTAGAATAATACATAAGGTGTATAAATTTTGGAAAGGGGTACATAATTGTAGGATTAGTAGGTGAATATAAAATGTTACATAACATGGTGTGAAATCTGATAAGATAGAATTCAATATTGTAAAAATATAAATAAGAAAATTAATAATTTTAGGTTGGGAATGACAACTGGGTCAAGTGGAGAAGATTCACAGTGAGAATAGTAATAATAATCGTCCCTTTAAATCAGTCAGTAAGACGTTCATTGCAGCAAAATTACATATGACGTTCACTAGCCGCAAGTTTTTCTCTACCTCTATAAGAGATAAGCACCCCCGTCTGGCCGCCTCCAAGTGCATTTATCACTTCACCTGCTCTTGTGGAGCAAGGTATATTGGTCTTAGTCGGAGGACGCTTTCCACACGGATACGACAACAAATTCTAGTTAGGTTTTACAGGGAAGGAAGGAAGTGTGTGCAAAGATCTATTTTGGAACACCTGATCGACTTCTGTCACTATGTCAACTCTGACCATGATTTTAAGATCATATATGGAATCCATGCTAACTTCCCGCGTTTTCTTCGTTACAGACTTCTAAAAACAGCCAAGGCCTTGGCAATTCATGACTTTAAGCCAGACCTTTGTGTACAAAAGAAGTACTTACAGTCCCTACTTCTGCCTTGATCGTAGAGGGATAGACATTTATTTATTTTGTTTATTTAGTTATTCTATCTACTTTTCCCTTATTACTACGATTATTATTACTATTGTCACTGAATCTTTTCCACTTGACCCACTTGTCATTCCCAACCTAAAATTATTAATTTTTATATTTTTTATTTATATTTATATTCGTCTACTAATCCTGTGATTATGTACCCCTTTCCAAAATTTATACACCTTAAGTATTATTCTACATATGACATTAATTATTTTGCCACTTGACATTAAACTATGATTATAATCTCAGATATTTTAATTGCATTTTATACTACTACTATTATTATTATTATTATTTCATGTATTCACACCTTTGACCTAATTCCTTCACCGGATATAATTTCTTAAAAGCCATATATCGTGTGTTTATCTGAAAATAACTATTATTACGTCCTAATGTTACAGTACTAAAGGTCCGTTATTGTTTAGGGTTGCTAAGTAAGTTATTTATTTCTTAGTGGCCGGTATTCGACATTAGTGAGAAGATAGGATTGAAAGCAACCACTATTCTGAAGGAAGTTTCATTACAACATCCTTGGTACCTCCTTATTAAAAAATAAATGAATAAAGACTTATAACCCTTCGGTTCCCGTCTCCTTGTGATCCATCCAGACTTTCTTTCCCTTCACGTTCCCCAGTGGAACATAGGGCTTCAAGCAAGTGGCTTGAAGTTTCTGTAGCAGTGTTTATTTTACAGGATGGAGTTGCTAGCCTCATGCCGAACCTTTCCTCTTTACCAGCATTATTTCTGGCTTAGCGAGGTAGAGAAGTGCGTTGGTGGCCGGGGATCGAACCCCGGACCATGTGCATGGTTGTCGAGCGTCCTAACCGATATGACACCGATGCCATACAGACTCCAAGTATCAAATCCATTCTTTTATTGTGATATAAGTGAATGGAAAGGCGACTTTATTTTTATTATAGAAAACTTACTTTAGAAGATTTCATTATTTCATCTGTCATTTTAGATGGTGGTACAACATCAACTGTCCATTTTGATGTAAGCATATTTGAATATGTGCCATTTTCATCTCTCCATACCATACGTGATAAACCGCTAGGCGTATTAGTTGATTGTTTCAGTCGTATTAAATGATCAATATTTAAACTTTGATCAACTGCATTCAGATTGAATGCACACAATGCATATATACGTGAAAGTGAATCCACTGTAGTCATTAAAGCATAAAAGACATGATCTGTATGGTTAACTAGTGAAAAAATGGGGCAAAAAAAATAGTGCGAAAGAGATTACTGAAGGGGAAGAAGGCAAGAAAAATATTTGAAAAAAAAACAGACATGAAACCATGTCATTTTTACCTTAATTGTTTAAAATAAAAATACACTTGAGTAAACCCTTTACTTTAAATAGCTAAAGAGTATTCTCTTTCTTCTTTTTAGCGGGTTTATTTATCACAGCTAAATACACTCTTCTCTCTTTTAGCAAGTGTTAGATTTATTGAGTATTGAAAACTGTAATGAAAAGCACCTTGTTCTGTTTTGCTCCATTGTACATTTTTGTTTTACCAGATGCTTCAGCCCCATAACTATGTAAAAGTATGATATTTCAAGGCAAACTTCATCTTATGTGTAAGTATAATTAGGTGTTAAAAGGCATTACTCATACTGTGGTGTGTGCTACATTTCGGACGTTCTGATCATACCCAATTATACAGGAGAAGGCATGAATCGTTGCAATACAGATCAGAATGCGAACAGGTCAATGTCACAAATAATGGGTAGGAAGATGACGAAAAGTTTTAGGTAAGAAGGGAGGAAAAAAAAATCAAAAACCAAAGAAGGGTTGAAAATATTATGAAGTAAACTGAACCTTGGTTCTAAATTGGATTACGAAGTCAGCTCATGATGAAAATCTCCAACCGGTCAAACAAAATCCCCTACGAAACCAATACTTGAATATTAATCTGGTACTCACTAGCGACTGGTCCTATTCAGGCAGTTACCCTGGGGTTCTAGCCGAAAGCTGTGACCGGTAGGGTACAGCAGGTTGAAGATGAGGCAGTAACTCATTGAAGAAGACATTGCGAAATGGTCACGCTATGTCATGAATTGGCAGAGGTTAGTATTCATGGGCTGACTATTGGATCGGATCCCAGTGGCTTAATGGTCTACGAGCTAGCTCGCCTTGTAACCAGAAGGTCCTGGGTTCGAACCGTGGCGGTGGGTGAGCACTGATGAAGAGTCCCAAAGAGCTGGGACGAAACAGCTGTCCAGTACTCCCTGCAGGTTACCCAATGATCCTCCAACTGATGTCAGCTCATGATGAAATCCTCTACTTGATAACAAATACCCTTTAGACATACAATATTTGTTTAAGTCTTTCTACGGCCAAGGCTGTAATGACTTTATGTGTGTTTAAGTATGTGACCCAACCTTGTTTAATATGTGTTTAAAGGTGTTACTGAAATCAACTTTCTGACCTGTCTGTATGATGTGCTTTGTTACAGATAACGTTGGAACACTTGTATCCAATGATTTTATTTGTTATCGCAGCCACTTTGGAATATGTTGTGTGTAGCCCTTACCTACAGATACCTTCGACACGTACATGTTACGTTGACCCGTACACATTCTGACCTGTATTGTAATGATTCATGCTTTCTTGTCTTCTAAATAACTATGTATGATCAGAATGTCCGAAATGTGTTGCGCAAATACATTACACGCTTCAGGTAAACTACGTCTTCTTATTGTGTTGTTGAAACATTCCTTACCAAGCCTTTTGTCTTCTATCATTATAATTTGTATTTAGGAGATGAGAAGAATTCAAAGAGAACAAAGAGAAGTGGAAAGATGCTTAAATTCAGTAAAGTACAGCTTGCATGCAGAACAGTCTCATCTATATCAGACAGTATGGAATCCAAAATTCTACAACTTTGCTTATTATTATTATTATTTCGTTTCCATTTTGTGTAATATGAAGTTTGCCGAATTTCACTAATTCAAACTCCTCTACAAAATGTACTTTACTGTTTTAGATGATAGGGCCAGCCAGGCCTCTGAGAAGTTCTCAGATTCATTTGAAAAAAAATATCTTAAAGGTAGATTCTATCAGAAACCATCATCAGCTACAGATCTGTTGAATACAGAGGAGTACTGGCCAGCTTTGTTTATAGAAGGCTTTAACAATAATGATTAATGTGGAAATGCTGGTAACTGTCTCACCGTTATATAAGTGGTTCCAGATATATTTTGTTGTACATATATATTCTATACCTATTAATTTATTTGGATTGAATTTGATTGGAAGCTGTTGTGTTTATTAATATATAATAATGCCAGAATTTCAAATCGAAATGTGATTAAGACGTCAGAACAATAAAATGCACAAAAGAAATCTGAAAGTTAAAATACTTCTTAGATGTAATGTAAACTGAAAGGCAGGAAAACAGAATATTACTAATGGTCAATACTGAAGTGAAAATAAGTAGTGGAAATGTTGACAGTGTACCGAATAGGGAATTTAATATGTGATTTCTGCAGGGATACATGAAATCCAATCCGTCACATACCAATTACACGATTCCAGGTGGGAATTCTCCACAATTACCTTTGGGAACTAAATATTATTCGGATCTGAATTCATGTTCTGCTTGGTATCATAATTTTTTTTATTTTTTTATATTTTTGATTACAGCTTGATAACACACTGCATTTTTGGTACAAGTATGGAATTTTTAGCATGGATATCGGTAGCCCAAATTTTGTAGGCCGACCATAGATATCAGGTGTGCGTCGCCAGTGGATCGAACCTCGAACCATGTGCATGGTCGACGAGAGTCCTAAGCATTGTGCCACCGACGCACAGTGGTTGTTGTATATGCTGCTGTTTGATGTGAATAGTTGAAAACCGCTCATATTCAGCGGTAGTTTTTATTATTCAAATAGAAATGATATAAACATATGATAGCCGTTCCTTTCGTTTGACCACTGAGCTCATCAACGATGTACTGGGATTTGTGACTTCTGAAAACAGATAACACATTTTGTTTTGATGGACTGCATTAACAACTCAAATGCGTGCCACCTTTAGACTTTTCATTTCTTTAAACTTGTTTACCCACTATTTTAAATTATGCCGAAGAGTGATTCGAACAAAATAATAGATTCTGAAGAAGGTATCCCTTATTCCTCTAGATTTTAAAGAATATTTTGTTTCTAAGCAAAAACATCGTATGCGTATACCAGTGTGGAAGATACACTATCCTTAGTTTCTGATTGTATTCCCTACTAGATAAATGATATGCGTTCAGGTTGTTGGGAAGCAAACCAACCAAGAAACTTTCAGAAAGAAATAGAGATGGACTGGACATACTTTGAGGTTACCGTTGAATGATATCATAAGCCTGACTGTTGGGTGGAATCCAACTAAGAAGCGATGATTTAATTCAATTTTAGATTTTCCCGTCGATTGATTGGACCGATTACTTGCTGTCAGGTCGATATGTTGACTTCTTGTGCAGATGCTTCGACGATGTCTGGCCACATCGGTCCAATCAATCGATGGGAAAATATACAACTGAATAAGATAATTAATATGACCCGTTGCACATGAGGTAGCTCCTGTGGCCCAAGTGGTTTAGTGGATAATGCTTTGGCTTTTGAAACTATGGGCACTGGTTTGAACCTCCGTGGGGACATCATCATTCACTGCATAATGAAAGTACGTCCAGATGAAGAGTCCCAAATAGGACAAAATGCGCACCATGGACTCCACTGCTAGTCACCATCCATCAATTAAGGAGCGATGAGTTGGCAGTCCGAAGCTGACGTAGAGGTAATATTGTGTGAAGGAAGTTACACCTTGTATACAATAGTGAAGCCGAATGAACTTGACGGTAGAGATCAGAATACAATGAACAGATGCTGCTCTACTCAGAACTCAAGGAATGATTAAGATTACTAGTAATATAAATAAAGTGGTCAAGCAGAATACAAGCACATGGATATAATTACTAAACTTTAACTTGTAAGATTCGTTTAATCGCATATTAGTGTTAAGGTGAGCTTCTAGGTTACTAGTGTTGTTATCCGCAACCTTACAGCGTAACTCATTCAGTTGCAGACACATCTTACTGACAAAACAGAAAATACTTGCATCATGTATTCCACTGCTAACCACCGCCCAAGTTTTGTAAAATAGAAGTATGAATTTAATTTATTAAGGCGGCCACTTATCACCTGTTTACAATCTAAAACTGATATATATATATATATATCTTCAATTATTCTATTATAATTGTTCCACTACTTCTTTTGAAGTGCATACATGATAAAATATATACACACAAATAACATATGACATAAGGGGCTGTCTATTAGGGGAACTAAATTATAAGGGTTGTTTATGGTAAAAAAAAAATCATTCCGCACTATGATATTTTATGCAAAAAAAAGCAATACGGTAGGTAAAAGGGACTACTAAGAAGTGAGGAAAATTTGGAAATTTTGTAAAATTTGAATTACTGTCCGGAAAATTCATTTGTTGCAATCATAATAATTTACTTACATCCAAATAAGTGTATAATCATCAACATCCTCAAAACACACTGGTTCGAATGAGCGCCACAAGGATACCAATGAAGACAAAGCATGTCTGATGTAGTAGTCCACATATGCTAGCATAAAATCGTGAGAAGTACAATGCCATATATTAAAATTTGAAGCCTGTTGCTTATACATGACTATGGAGCAACATTTACTGGCGCATACTATCAAGACTAGTTCATTCGAACTGGTGTATTGAGGCATATGCTTTAACCACACTCGTTGTCAGCGTGTGATAACATTGTGCACCAAAAGCACTGCTACTCGTGAGCAGCATACAGTAAAGTCAGTGAATGGGGATTTGTCGCTACCCCCTGACTTTAACATGGTGTAAGTGAAATTAAATACTTACAGGTGACACTGATCAATATTTATGGTGTATGAAAACTCAAAGAATTCTGGAAACTATGATGCATGTATTTCTGGCTTTTTGGCTCACTAAAATATGCCTACTGAAAAGCTTAGAATTCCTAAGCTCGAAGGATCATAGGTACTCACTGCTAAGGACTTCAAAACTAAAAACAAACAGACGTCTAGTACTCTTTGATCTCCTTTCACCCCCATAAGTGTTGTAGGTTTGTGACAGATGCTACTTTCAACAAGCAAATTGTTAGCAGAAAACGTTTACTGTGAAAGTAATACA